AAGACATCTTTAAAAAAAAGAATAAGGGGCCACCTGGGTGGCTCGGTAGTTGAGCGTCTGCCTTCCGCTCTGGTCGTGATCCTGGAGTCCCGCAATCGAGTCCTACATCGGGCTCCCCGAAGGGAGCCTGCTTCTCCCTCTGCCTGTGTCTCTGCCTCTCTCTGTGTGTCTCTCATGAATAAATAAAATCTTTAAAAATAAAATAAAATAAAATGAAAATCAACAGGGAGCAGACTGGACCACATTATAGCCATATAAATTCCCCTCCTCTCAGGCCCCAAGCCTCTGTCCCTGGGGCCACACAGGGCCTAGCCTCCCAGACCTGGCTGTGACAACATTGTCTGGGTCTTAATCCCCTCCTGGTACGGGTGGAGGGTGGGGGGGCCCCCCTGAGGGAACTGACACTGTCTGGGCTGGTTGGTTCCCACGGTTTGCCTGCACTTAGCCAATCAGCACGGGCTCTGGAGTGAGGGGTGGGCAGGGAGGGGGCTTGAGGCTCAGCGGGCTGGGAAGGCCCCTCGCTGACCCCGGCCTTGCAGGTCAGAGCCCTTTCTAGGGCAGAGAGGGGGAAATCCTGGTGTTAGTACGGTCCCTGAGGTCCCTGAGACTGCCCTAAGCCCTCGGCCACTTGCCAAGGCTGAGCCCCGGTTCAAACACCTCACAGATCCCATTCCTCCCACTTGAGCCCCCATCCCTGCCAGGGACCCCCCCACCCTTGGCTTCATCTGTCTCAGCACCCCCCATCCCTGAGACCCCTTCCTGACCCCCCAGCTGGCCTCCCCACTCCTCTCTTAGCCAAGGTGGGTTTACTGTGAGTGTGTAGGCCTCTTACTCATAGGGGCACCCGTGAGGGTTGCTGGGGGGCAGCCGGGTCACACCCAGGAAGCATTCTCCATTAAATGCTCCTGGCACCCTGCCCAGGGAGACGTCAGAAGAAGGAACCCAAGTCTTGAGGCTTCCAGCAATTTATTACGCTTTTCTGTATCGTTCGATCACTATTCACTTTATATATTTTTTTAAGATCTTATTTATTTGTTTGACAGAGAGAGAGCACAAGCAGGGGGAGCGGCAGGCAGAGGGAGAGGGCGACGCAGGCTCCCCGCTGAGCAGGGAGCCTGACGCGGGGCTCGATCCCAGGACCCCGGGATCATGACCTGAGCAACTGAGCCCCCAGCCGCCCCACTACTACTCACTTTGGTACAAATCGTGTATTGTTTCTCCTCTAAAGGGGCCCCTAAAATTGGACTGGCCCTGCTCTTACTCCTTGACCACGCATCTCCACTCTGATGGCCAGACCGGCTGGCAAGAGCAGGGCCCCCACGGAGCCCCTCCTGGCCCCAGACTGCATCACACGCCTCGTAACCCCCGGCCTTCCCGTCGACGCTGACCGGCCCTGCGGGAGGTGGCCCTGCTCTGCCCCACATGCTTCCCACCTTGTTCACCCGGTTCTTCCAGCCAAAAAGCCAATCCAGAGTCCCGGATTCTTCTCGTTCTCTCAAACCCACATCTAATTGGTCCGGAAGCCCTAGGAACTCTTCACGATGCGTCCATATCCACGCATCCAATCCGGTCCAGCCACTTGGGGCTACTTCCTTGGCTACCACCTTGGTCCAAGCCCTGGGTTATTATTCCCAAGTCATCATCATCTCATGGGGCTAATTCCAAATGCTTCCAAGCTGGTTTTCTGTTTCTGCACTGTCTGTTCCACAAGCAGCAAGAAGAATCCTTTGAAAGCAGAAGCCACATTGTGCCGCTCCCTTGCGCACACTCCGTGGGCTGCCGTCCTGACCCTCACCGGGGCCCTGGGCGATCTGGTCCCCGCCCACCTCCACAACCTCATTCCTTTTTTTTTTTTTAAAAGATTTTATTTATTTATTCATGAGAGACACAGAGAGAGGCAGAGACACAGGCAGAGGGAGAAGCAGGCTCCATGTGGGGAGCCCGATGCGGGACTCGATCCCAGGATCCCCGGGCTGAAGGCAGACGCTCAACTGCTGAGCCCCCCAGGCATCCTGCAAACCTCGTTCCTGCCACTCCATCCTCTCTGATGCTCCGGCCACGCTGCATTTCCTGCTGTTTCTACAATATTCTCAGCTCGTGGCCACCTCAGGGCCTTTGCCCGTGCTGTTCCCTCAGCTGGGGTATTCTTCCCTCAGCTTCGTGCTTGGCTTGTTCCCTCGGTCCGTTCAGAGAAGGCCTCCGTGGAAGGCAGCTTCAAAGGTGGCCTCCAAGGCTCCGCACCCTCCGCCGTGTCTTGTGCAAGGCCCTCGTCTCGGGTGGGCCGAGGCTCGGAGACCCGCTTCTAACCAAGAGAACGCAGCAAGAGCGACGGGTGCTGCGTTTAACACGCGGCTACAAGAGGCCTGTGGCTTCCGTCCTGCTGTCTTCTCTCTTCCTCTCTCCCTCACTGGCTGGCTCTGAGGGAGGCCAGCTGCCACGTCAGCCGTCCGTGGAGAGGCGCACGTGGCGAGGAGACCCCACAGCCAACAGGCAGAGACGACCCGAGGCTCTGGGTCCCAGTAGCCCACAAGGCACTGAATCCCGCCGACCACCATGTGAGTGAGCTCGGAGGCGGATCCTACCCCAGCCACGCCTTAGGGTGACACCAGAGCCTTGGCCGGCGCCTTGTCTGTGTCTGTGAGGAGAACCTGAGCCAGTGGACCCTTCCAGGCTGTGGGACCCGACCCACGGAAAAAGACAGTGGGGACGCCTGCGACGTTCAGTCGGTTGAGCACCTGACTCTTGATTTCGGTTCAGGTGAATGATCTCAGGGTCATGAGATCAAGCCCGTGTTGGGCTCCAGCTGGATGTGGAGCCTGCTCGAGATTCTCTCTCTCCCAGGACGCCCAGGTGGCTCAGGGATTGAGCGTCGGCCTTCGGCTCAGGGCATGACCCCGGGGTCCTGGGATCGAGTCCCACATCGGGCTCCCTGCATGGAGTCTGCTTCTCCCTCTGCCTATGTCTCTGCCTCTCTGTCTCTCTCTCTCCTCTCTCATGAATAAATAAAATCTTAAAAAAAAATTCTCCCTCTCTGCCACCCTCCCTGCCCCCAACCTACCCCCACTCAAGCATGCGCTCTCTCTCTCTCTCTCTCTCTCAAAAAAGAGTGAGATGATGAAGGTCTGTCGTTTAAGCTGCGAGCTTTGGGGGCCACCTGTTACGCAGCTGTGGCTGACACACATATTCTCCACAGCCCACTCGCCCCAACCTCCTGCCACTCTGGCCTCTCACCCAGCTCTATGTTTCTTTGCAGGACACTTGCTGCTTGTGCATCTTTTCCAGCCCAGAGCCCAGCCCCACGCAGATGATCAGTAGGTACGTGTGAACGAGCGGATAGGGGAAGGTATGCAGATGCCCGAAGGGACCATCCCATAGCTCAGAAGAGCCGGAAGTAGGGGGCTCAGGAGGGAGGAGGCTGCCCTGGAGGTTACTGTCCCCTCTTAGCCGAGACTAGGGGCCCTGGTCTCCCGCCTTTTCACAAGGATGCTGGTCCAGGCCCGGGATTCGGGTTCTCACGGTCTCTGCGGAACAACAAGTCCTGGCTTCATACCCCCTTCCAGACCATACCTCCTGGATTTCCTCTGCTCTTTGGACTTCAGGCCTGTTTTTCTTTGTTTGGTGTGGAAGTTTGCTAAACGCCTCACTTAGAGTGATCTAATTTTCAGACCCTAGTCAGACTTCTCACAAAAATAATAGATAAGAAGAGAATCCTATTCCAACTCACATGGCCCCAATTTTTGTTTGGAAACAGTCCTTCTGTCCGTAAAAAGGAAAGGACCGCCAAATCCAATCCCCTCCCAGCCCTGTCCCCACTGGGTCCCAGACTGTACTGGGGTCCAGGGGGCCCGGGAACCTTCCAGCAAAAACATCAGGCCCGAGTCGGAACCCGGTGCCCAGTCTGGGTCTGGTAAGGGCTGGCTCTGTGCCCAATCACTGAGCCATTTCCTCCCAGACTGGGGCAAGTTTCCTGCCCAGAGGGAGCTGAGCGCATTCCCAGGCAGAGGGGGGCTGGATTGGGGGAGGGGGCAGCCACAGGCATTTCCCCCACCTCAGTTACTTTGGAGCTGAGGGGCCCTCCTGGGGGTAGAGCCCGGAGAGCAAGGGCTCAGAGGCTGGGCTCCAGCTGTCAGTTGGGTGGCCCTTTGTGGAGGAATGAGCTGGAACCAGCCTGTCCCTGTGTGCCAGGTGTGCCCCGGGGTGGGGAGCAGAGAATCCCACACCAGACTGTCTGGAAGCAGTAGCTTTTGGGTGACCACGGTGGCCTTTGCTCAGAAGCAAGGCTCACCGGAACCTGGAATCCTCCAAGGGCCTTCTTGCCTCCCTTCCCCCTGGTGCATCCTCTGCCACTGCTGAACAACCTGACCCTGGCAACCCCCTGGAAGCCCCTAGCCGGGAGTCTTCTTTGCCTGTGGGGCCCCTCCTCGGAAAGGGCTCTCAGTCCCCATGGGCTGGGTGCCCGGGCCAGGAAAACATGGCTGTGATGGAGCCTCTCATAAGGTGGCTGGAACCACATTCCAGAACCTTCCAGGAATGGACTCATCCTGTTGTTTTATGTGCACCTCTGCTGGCTTCCCTGGCCGCAGTGCGTAACAAGAAGAGGGTAGCAGGAAGCATGCAAAGCACTTGAGCTCTGGGGTTCAGGCCACCTGGATTCAAATCTTGACTTTGCCACTAACTAGCTCTGTGACCTTGAGCAAGTTCCATAACCTCTCTGAGCTTTTCTTTCTTTCTTTCTTTCTTTCTTTCTTTCTTTCTTTCTTTCTTTCTTCTTCTTCTTCTTCTTTCTTCTTCTTCTTTTCTTTCTTTCTTTCTTTCTTTCTTTCTTTCTTTCTTTCTTTCTTTCTTTCTTTCTTTCTTTCTCTTTTTTTAAAGATTTCTAATTTATTTATTCATGAGAAACCCAGGGAGGGAGGCAGAGACACAGGCAGAGGGAGAAGCAGGTTCTCTGCAGGGAGCTCGATGCAGGATTCGATCCCAGGACCCTGGGGTCATGCCCTGAGCTGAAGGCAGTCGTTCACCCACTGAGCCTCCCAGGGGCCCCTGAGCTTGTTTCTGAATCTGTAAAAAGGGATAACAGTATCTGTGTCGTGGGCTGATGTCAGAACAAAATGAGATCATAAAAGTGCTTGGTACGTGGTCAGCACCCTACATGTGGCAATATTCCTTTGGACTGGCTCAGAGAGTGGCAGCGACCCACCTAAGGGCACACAGCAAGTAGGCAGAGCTGGTACCCAGCCTCTTCCCAGATGCCCTGTAGCCTCCCGGAGGAGCGAGGCTGAGGTGGCAAGGACCCCCACGGTCTTAGCCTAGGATGGGACAGGACACAGACACCGTCCACCCACAACTGAGTGGCTGCTGTATAGACCACGAGTCCACGCCGCCGCGTCCCTGTCGCTTCCTCAGCCACCTCAATACTGACCTACACCCCAGGGGACCCAGCCCCAGCCAGAAGGGCTGTGTGGCCCCAGGACGGCCTCTTTCCCTCTGTGTGTTCATGATTCTAAGCGCAGGTTGAAAAAAATCATCTTTATTACTGTTTGTGGAGGGGGCGGTGAAGGGGGGCCATTCAGAGAACGCAATAGTCTCCCAGGGAAGGCGGGTCCGAGGGGGCTGAGAAACATAGGGCTTCACCCAGCGGCCTCCACATGCCCCCCCTTTAGAGGGCCCAGCCCCAAACCCTCCCCTCCCTCCACGGAGCCCCCAGGTGGGGGCCAGCCTGCCCCCCTGCTTCGGGGCAGTGTCCTGGGGTCCAGGCCTCTGGATGAGCCCGGGTGGGCCTGAGACAGACTCTGAGTCTTTGCTACGGCAGGTCAGGAGGGGGCTGTCCCCTGGGGCTGAGCACGTGCTGAGGGCTGGGACTGAGGCTGCCTTGGAGCTGACACCGAAGGCCTCTGGGATGGAGAATCCTGAGGGAAGGATGGAGGACACCTCTCAGTCCCCCCATCCTCTGCTGGGGACTTCAGGCCTCCGGTTACCCAGACCCCTCCTCCCATGCAGGACCTCTGAGGGTCCAAGGTTAATGCCAGGAGGGAGAGGGGATTTCAGCTCCTTCTGCCCCCACCCCTGCTCTTCTTAAACTCGGGCCTGTCGAGGCTCCTCGGGTGGCCTGGAGCCAGGGCTCAGTGTTTGGGGGACGCGCGGGGTGGAGCGCCCACCTGTATCTGGCAGAGGTCCAGCAGAGTGTGGATGCTGGCCAGGCACCAGAGCTCGCCCAGCAGGGACAGGAGGATTCCCAGGAGGTCCAGCCAGCTGCCCACGGTCAGCAGCAGCACGAAGAGGCCACCCATGCGCACCAGCAAAGTCTGGACCTGGCCCTGCAGGCCAGGCTGCTGCCTCTGCTCCTCTGGGGGGCGGGGTGCTTGTCACCACCTGCCTGCCATCATGCCTGGGGCCCCGGCCTGAGGTCCAGCTGGGTCAGGGCCTCGGGGTCTGGGCCGCCCAGCCCCCCCGCCCACCATCCCCTCCCCTTGCACCGCCCCCTCCATCTCCACTCTCTGAGCACCTGCCTCCCTGGCGGCATGCTCACTCCCAGGCTGCCTGTGCTCTGCCTGCAGTGGGGGTGGGGGGGAGCACACCAGCTCCAAGTGGCAGGAGTCTCCTGACTGTGCTCCCACATCCGATCCATCAGGAAACCTTGGAGACTCTCTCCACCAAGTAGATCCCCACCTGAGCCCAAGTCCCCACTCCCTGCCCAGTCCCAGCTCCTGGCTTCTGTTCTTGACCTTGTAGGTCACGAGTCTATTCCATGTCTGCTCAGCAGCTGGTGACCTTCTAAACACATCAACGAGATGAAATCGTTCCTTTGCTTACATTCTTCCCAGGACTTTCCACTGCATTTGAGGTCCTGCCTGATGTGAACCATGCCCGCTCTCCAACCTCACCTCACCTCTGACTTGCTCCCGTTCCTTATTAACCCCTGGCCACCCAGGTTTTCTTGTTGGTCATCAAACACGCCGAGCTCACTTCCACCTCAGGGCCTTGGCACCTGCTGCTCTCTGCCTGACCGCTCTTCCCTTTCCTGCCATTTCTACGCCATCTCCCCACTGCAGCCAGGTGGCTCTTCCTACGGTCCACATCTGACCAGGTCACTCTCCCCTGCTGAAAACCCTGCTGTGGCTTCTCATCCGACGGCCAGACTGGCTGATGAGGGCTCTCCATCAGGCCCCGTGAAGCTGGCCAGCCTCATCCCACACTCAACTTTTTTTCAGTTGTTTGACGGTGCCATGCCTTCTCTCACCTCTGGGCTCCGGCATGTAGGGTTCCCTCTGCCAGGATCTCTTTTCCCCACAGACACACACCCCCCAGGGGGGGTCCTACTTATCCTTCAAAACCCAGTTCAAGGGGCAGCTCGGGTGGCTCAGCAGTTTAGCGCCGCCATCAGCCCAGGGCGTGATCCTGGAGAACCGGGATCGTGTCCCACGTCGGGCTCCCTGCATGGAGCCTGCTTCTCCCTCTGCCTGTGTCTCTGCCTCTCTCTCTCTCTCTCTCTCTCTCTCTCTCCTCTCTGTGTATTCTCATGAATAAATAAATAAATAAATCTTAAAAAACAAAAACCCCATTCAAGCTCTATCTCCTCAGGGCTCCCACTGCACGCTACAGCCCCTCTGAGCTGCCCCGTGTGGCTTCCGTCACTAGACTGGGCCTTCGCTTGTTGGCCTCCCCGGAACCTAGCACCGCGCCGAGCCCGGGTCAGACCGCGGGATGCCAGCGCCAGGTGGGCCAGCTGCTGCCCGGCGCCCCCGCGGCCCTTACCCTGCATGTAGATGACCAGCAGGGCATAGCAGATGACCAGCGGCGTCCAGAAGCGCACGGCGTCCGAGGTGGTGGGGAAGTCCTGGTTGATGAGGGCCACGGCCGCCAGGTCACCCACAGCGAAGGCCACGGCCAGGGCGCGGGTCAGCAGCGGAGGGAGGTGGTGGGCGCCCGCCAGCAGACCCAGGCAGACCCCGCAGTAGTTCTGGCTGCTGTGCAGCTCGTAGAGCTGGTTCACGTGGCGGCAGAGGCGCCGGGCGCCCGAGCTAAGCAGTGCGGCCAGCCAGAGGCCCAGCAGCAGGTTTAGGGTGCGGTGGGGGGCGCCCTCCTGCAGGAAGCTCAGGCCGCAGCTCAGCGCACAGCCCAGCGAGTACTGGCACAGCAGGTACAGCTGCAGCCTCTCCCTCTCGGAGCCCTGGGCGGGAGGGAGCCCAAGGGGGGTCTCGGTGGTGGGCGCTCAGGCTGCCTCTCGCCCACCGCGGGGACGGGGCGGGGCGGGGGGACACGAGGGAGCCGGGAAGGCACGCAGACCACTCTGTGGGGGCTGGAGGCGGCCGGAAGCTTGCAGTCATGCTCCAAGGACTGCCGCCTTCGGGTCAAGGCCTGCTGGGACCATCCTCCTGTTCACTTTCCACCCCGATGGTTCCTTGGGCCCCGAGCGCTTGCTGAGAGTTGGTGGCTCAGAGCCTTCCCGCCCTGGGTTCAAAGCCTGACTCTACTTCTTGCCCGTTGTCCCGGGACAAGCCGCCCACCGTCCCTGAGCCTTAGTCTCCCCATCTGTGGAGATCACAGCAGAGCTTTACCCTCTAGGGCTGTGAGGATGCTCGAGGTGACGCCCCCACAGTGTCTGGCACAGCGCGGCCCGTGGGAGGCCGGATAGCCAGGAGCCGCCACCGCTGTCTTCTCGGCCGGGGGCTGCGGGCCCCCCAACCCCAGGAGGCAGCGTGCACTCTGCAGGCTCCGGCTTACAGGGGGGGTGGCCAGGAGCCGGGGTGCTCCAGCTGGGCCCCGCTTCCTGTGCTCCGGGGTGCAAACTAGGGCCCCGGCCGCGCAGCGGCTCACCCGCCTGCTCGGGGCCTCTTACCTTGCGCAGGGAGAGCAGCGTGGACACAGCCCGGAGGGAGAACTCGAGCACCACGAGGGCGGCCACCCGGGCCCCCAGGACCGTCAGGATCAGGGCCAGGCCGGCCAGGTGCACCGCGTCCAGCAAAGCCCACCGGGCCCGCAGCCGCTGCCTCTCCAGCCGCTGCCGGGGGTTGCTGTGGGGCACAGGGGCGTGGGCGGGGGCAGGCCCACCCGCGGGGCCGGGAAGCTCTGTGGGGCCCGAGGGCGGGGTGGGCAGACGCTCACCTGGCACAGCTCACGAAGAAGTAGACCCTCAGGAGGCTGTTGAGGACCGAGACTCCGCAGGCCCCGATGAGGCCTGAGGGGCGGGGGGGCGGCGAGGGGGCCGGGTTAGGGGTGCCGGGGGGCCCACGGCCGAGGGGGGGTCCTGCCCAGAGCTGCCCGGAGCTGCCCGACGGGGCGGCGCTCACCCTGCAGGACGGGGTCGAGGAGGCCGGAGCCCCACTGCGGGGATGAGAGGCTGGGGAGCCAGGAGGGGAGGGAGGGCAGGGAGAACATGGCCATGGCGCGGATCAGCCCCAGCCTGCGCCGGAGGAGGCTGCTCAGGGCAAAGGTGTCAGCGCGGAGGGGAGGGGCGAGGCGGGTCAGAAGTCCAGCGGGGAGGGGAGGGGGGGCCGCGCCTTCCGGGCCTCAGCGTTCTGGGGGCTCCACATTTGGGCAGCATGAGGGGGGCCTCTGTCCCTGCTCATAGGGGTGCCCTCCGGAAGCCCCCACTGTAGCCCTGCAGCTGGGCTCTGCCCCGCAGCCTGAGGTCTGGAAGGCGCCCCCCCCCCCAGCCTGAGGTCTGGAGGCGGGCTCCTCGGCCCCTCTCTGCCGCCTGCCTGCGGTGGGACCCAGCTGGGCCTCCTCCCCCTCCCCCGGCTGCGGCCTTGCCGTCCTCTGTCCTCTGTCCTCCAGGTGGCGGCCGCCGGCAGGGTGGCGCTGGCCCACGTCCCTGCAGTCCTCACCCCCCCCCCCAGGGACCGAGGAGAGAGCGCCCAGGGGCCCAGCGCAGCGGTTCCGGGGTGAGGGAGCCTGACGCTGCCCACAGAAGGGAAGGGAGTCATGAAGTGAACAAAATAGAAAACTTTATTGGTTTGGAGTGTGTGGCAGGGGCGCCCCTTGGAACAGCGGTGGGAGGCCGGATAGCCAGGAGCCGCCACCGGGCCCGCCCCATCCCCTCCAGGGACTCGGTGTCCCGAAGCCCAAGGTCGGCCGGCCTGGGCCTCACAACATGCTCCCTGGGGGGAGTGTGGCTGCAGCTGGGGGAAAGGACCCGGGCTGAGGACACCGGGCTCTGCCACTGACCGTAGGCGGGTCGCTTCCCGGCCCCGGGCCTCAGCCTCCTCATCTGAAGAATGGGCACAGCAAGGGCTCCCTTTCAGAACTGGCCTGAGGATCTGTGCAAGTGCCCGCAGTGCCGGGCGTCTAGGGGGCCCGCAGGAGCAGCTGATGTTCCAGGCCGAATGATGTCCCCCCACCTACCCCACCCCCCGCCCGCATTCGGATGTTCTAACCCCCAGGGTGTGACTGTACTTGGAGGTGAGGTCTCAGAAGAGGTGATTAGGTTAAGATGAGGATATTAGGGTGGGTGCTAACCCAATGTGACTGCTGTCCTATTAGGACATGGACGGGCACAGCAGGAAGACCCCGCGAGGACCCAGGGAGAAGAGGACAGGAGAAGCCAACCCTGCTGACCCCTCGACCTTGGACTTGTGGCCTCTAGGCTGTGAGACAGCGGCTGTTGTGTGAGCCTCCTGGTCTGGGGCGCTTCTCATGGCAGCCCGAGCTTGCCAACGCAGATGTGACACGATGGCCTCCCGGTGCATCCTAGGGCCTCCCCACCTGTATGGTGACCCTCGGGGGCGCTCCAGCCCCCACGGCCCTGGCTCTTGCCAGGGGCACCAGTCCGGGCTGGGCAGAGCTAAGTTCCAGTCCTGGTTCCGCCACTTCCAAGCGGTGTGGCTTTGGTCAAAGCGCTTCACTTTGCTGAGCCTCGGGTAGAAGAGGATTTCACAGTCTCAGAGGACTAAGCAAGCTGATGCATGTGGGTGACCCACTCGTGGTGGTGGCCATGCCCTGGAGCAGTTATTATGATAATGGGTAAGGCTCTGGGATAAGCTAGCCCAGTACAGACAAGGAAGAGAACTTGCTGGAGAACCGAGTGGCTGGTGAGCCAGAGCAGATGCCCCGGCCCTGGGTGGGCCATGGGTCTGGGTTGACCAGAGCTGTGCACACTGGCCTTGGACCCGTGGCCTGCTCTGAGACAGCCATTCCCAGCGGGCGTGGGCCGTGGCTTCCTGCCAGGCCCCGGGCTGTGTCAGGACAGGGACATGAGGGATGCGGCCTAGGTGCCCTGGTGCTGGCCCCGCGCAGCCAGTTTCCGGAGCTCGTCCCAGAAGAGCATGCTGAGGATGGTGTGGGGGCCCAGGCGCAGGTAGGCCGGGCCCAGACCCTTGTAGAGTGCAAGGGGGCCCTCCTGCCGCCAGATCTTCACCAGGCAGTCGGCAAGGCCACTGTACAGCTGGCCCTGGGGACAGACACAGGGTGGAGGTCACCACAGGGGTCACAGCTGGGGGTGTCTGTGTGCAGGGGCTTCTGTGGCACAACAGCAGAGACACTCTCCCCAAGCTGAGCAAATTACAGAAAGGTGGCCCTTTAGGCTGTGAAATTTAAGAAGGGACTTCCTCCTCCAGGCCACGCGGCCCCATGCCCGGGGTGGGGCGCCGAGCTTGGCTAGTGGCACACGGGTGGGTTTCGTCCCTGACTCAGCCTTTGGAGGGCGCCTTTGTGTTGAGCCCAACCTGCCCTGGTGTACATGATGGCCTGTGTGTCTGTGAGGCCGTGGGGTCAGGCCTGGATTCCCATTCAGGCTCCTGCACTTATCAGCCAGGTGACCTCAGGCACAGCACCGGGTCTCTCTGATGTCACTTCAGTTTCCTCATCAGGAAAATTAAGGTGGTTGTGAGGAGAGAAAGAAATCCAGCTGGGAAAATGCTTATTAGCCCATGTGTGGGACACAGGTGCCCAGCAAACAAGCCAGGTCAGTGTGTTTGCACGTGTGTCACATGTCCGTGTGTCTCTGGCTGTGTGTGTGTGTGTGTGTGTGTGTGCACATGCATGCGGGGAGGTGCCCTCCAGCTCCCCATGCCACCCCCCATCCCCGCCGTACCTTCCTCTGCTCGCTCTGCCCCTGCCCTGGGGGTGCCCTCCAGCTCCCCATGTCCCCACAGCCCCCACTGTACCACCCCTGCTCACTCTGCTCCTGCCCTGAGGTGTCCTCCAGGTCCCCACACTCCCACCCCTCCCACTGCACCCCCCTTCTCGCTCTGCCTCTGCCCGGGGGTGCCCTCCAGCTCCCCATGCCCCCCCCTCCCACTGCACCCCCCCCCCGCTCACCCTGCTGGTTCCGTCCACGGGCTGATTGTAGAGCCGTGTGCTGACCACGTCGAAGGGGGTCATGACTGCAGCCACAGCGACGCTGCTGATCATGCCTCCAGCCAAGGCTACCAGCCAGCTGTCTTCCGGGAGCCACTGCGGGGTGGTGCAGGCTCTGACCCATGCAGCCGTCCTCCCTGCACCCTCCCAGCACTTGGGGGCCCGGAGAGCTGGGGAAAGGGAGTAGGCCAGGTGCCTCCGGCCATTCGCCCATCCCAGCTCCTTCGCAGTGTTAGGGCTCACTGCTGGCCCCACACACCCGCTGGGCACGAGGGCAGAGCCAGGGTCCTCGGCTTTCTTTAGGGGCCCTGGCTGTCACCTCCCCCTGGGCTTCCCTAGGTGGGGGTCCAGCTGGGGAGATGCCAGGGCGTGACAAGGGCCCAGACAGGGAGAAAGCAGGCAGATGGTCCTCCTCACCTGTTGCTCCTGCACCCAGGCCTTGGCAGAGGCAAAGGTGGCCAGCTGGGCGGCTGAGCCGACCATGACTCTGGGCACAGCTCCCCCCACGCCCCGCCACAGCCCTGCCAGGCCCTGCTGCCGCCAGATGGTCTCCAAGGCACCCAGAACACTCTGTAGGGAGAAGGCACTGGGTCACCAGGCAGCCCCTGCCCCCTCAGGGCCCATCCAGCCCAGGGAGCTCTGCGGGCCCCGGTTCCTACCTGGTGATGATGTTGGTGGCCCACGGCCATCGCGGCCACGGTCTGGGCCTGCAGCTGCGTTTTGATCTGTGAGACCAGATGTGACAGGGGGACTGGATGAGCTGTGCCTCGACATCCAGACCCCCACGAGCCCACACCCACAGCTTAGGGAGCGTGTGGAATAGGGCTGGGGTGAGGCTCGGGGTCTGCGTCTCCGTGTAACCTGGGGCAAGTCACCAAACCTTCTCCCAGCCCGTCTGCTCCGCTCGACAAGCTGTTCTCTGGACTAAGTGGGATAAGGACTATTCAGCATCCAGCATGCAGCCTTGGACGCGGGGGCCTCGCTTATTCTTAACCTGCTAGGCCACACGGGGAGACAAGTGACCACGCTGGGTTTGAGCCAGCACATGTCCCACCACCCTCTGCGCCCTCCCGTGGCTCAGGCCCAAGCGGGGCAGGGGCCCAGGAGAACGAGCATCCAGGCAAGACTCTGGTGCTTTGGGCCAAGGGGCAGATTCCAACCCCGGAGCAGGACTGTCCCGGGAGCGGCCCCGTCCAGCCTGGCCCACTCCACCCGGTACCAGGGCTGGTCTGGAAGGCTCCAGAGCCGCCGGCCGAAGGAGCTGGGTCACGGGGTGGTGGAGGATGGAGACAAGGCACTCACCAAGTAAGCAGGGCTCCCCACGAAGGCTCCCAGTGCCCCAGCCACGGCGCCCGCGACCACGGTGCCACCAGGCCGCTGGGTGAGGCCAGCCTGGCATGCCAGGCTGTAGCAGTAGAAGCGGACGCCGTTCATGAGGCCCTGGTAGAGGAGGCCGGCGGCCAGCCCCTTCTGCAGGCCACACAGCCCATCGGCGCGGACCACAGCCACCACCGAGGTCACAAAGCCCCTGTAGGGCCGTGGGTACGTGCCGCGGGCCTGCAGCTCCCCCTGCAGCTGCAGCCTCGTCTTCACCACCTCTAGGGGGTTGGTGAAGACGCAGGCCAGGCAACAGGCCGAGGCGCCCAGCACCAGGTCCACGGCTGGGGCCACCGTCTCCCTGGCCTCTCTTCCCGAGGCCGGCTGTGCCTGGGTCAGGGACATGGGCACAGTCCTGGGGTGGTGGCGCTCAGGCTGCCTGCACCCCTGCACGGTCACAGGGGCTGGGGATCTAGGGGGCCTGGGGCCATGTCTGGGCGGAGGTCCCAGGCGGATCGTCGGTGGCCCCGGGTCTGCCTCGGGAGTCCCCCTGCTCTGCTGAGCCACTAGGGCTGGCGGAGCCTGGGACACGCCCCTGCTGGCTCAGACCAACCCCAGCTGTCTGAGTTGTCCACACCTCCCAGCAGGGCTGTGCCTGGATCCTGGGATCTGGGGAAAAGGTCACCTGGAGCAGGAGGGAGATTGGGGGCAGGGAGAAGGTGCCAATCAGCTGAGACACCTCCTGCTGTTGTGCCTTCCAGACCTCCCTCTGGCCCTGGGGCAAAGGGCTGGTGGCCCTGCCCCACCTCTGTTTGGGCGGGTCCTGCTGCAGCTCAGCGCCCAGGCCACGCAGCAACCGCCCACAACCACCCTGCACCGTCCCGTGGCTCCCCGTGGCCGGCCTCCGTCTTCCAGTCTGGCTCCCACGCCTATGGTCCCGCTGTCAGGAAGAGCAGAGGTGGC